GCAGCTCGTTGTCGCGTGTCTGTCCTTCGTTGCAAGCCCTGTCGCAGTCCGTACGAGACGGACGACTTGCCGCAATCTCTGCCCGCCGAGCTTTCGCGTTATGTTCTGCACTCTTTCGGAGATAAATGTCCACCTTTTCCCGTCACCGCGGATGATGTGTCGGTGCCTGTCGGGCGCCTCGAGGTCGACTACATCTCGGGACATCAACTGGTGCGGGGCCGTAGCGGCGGTCTCGCTGTCCTGTACCAGACGCGTTGGGTAGACCTGACTACTCCTTCATGGGAACGGGAATCCGACCTTGATCTATTCCGTCGACACATCCTCTTGTACTGGTCCCTGGAGGCCTGCCAAAGCAAGCAGGGTAACCGTACATATCGAACGGCTCGGACTCGCGCGGCACAGCGGGAGCTAGCCCGGAATCTTGGAGAACGCTATTTGCCGCCTGGGGCTGATCTTGTGCTTAACGCGACTTGACTTCGTCGTTTCAGCACTTCGCCCCTCCTTGTTGGCGCGCGGCTGTGGTACAAGGCCCGTGATGGATTGTGGTGGACCGGACGTATTGGGGCTCATCAGGGCGGCTCGTACATCGTTCGATTTTTGGACGACCCGGGCCCAAGCGTTCTCCCTCTGCCTGCGCATCGCTACTCCACCGCCTTGGACGCCGTCTGTGGACCATGGTGTATGGAGAAACATCGTTCGCGCCCTCTGGGCGACAACCGTGGTCGCACTCCGCTCCTTGCCGACTCCTTACCGTCGGCTGTTCCCGCCGTTTCTTCTTAGCGTCGTCGTTTTCACATACCAATCGGCCTATTTTGATCGCTTGTGCCATCCTTCTCGCCGACGTTTTGCTTTCGTTTTTTTTTTCTGTCATCTTCCGTTTTGCTTTATTTATTTATTTTTTCTGTCTTGTCTCTTTTCTTTCGTTGGCTTATTATGTTTTGGACGCTGGGGCAACGCCGCCTCGAGACACACAGTGTCGAGTTATCCTTCTTCCTTGTTGCCTGCATTCATCCGAATCAGTGAACTGCTGCGCCCTGGATGTCCGTTCTCTCTCGCCTTTGCTTAATTTTTTTTTGGCTTTGGTCTTGGTTCTCTCGACCAGCTGCCTCCGAAGTTTCGTCGGTGTTGTCTGCCTCTGAACACTTGGACAAAGAGTTCCCCGAGTTTCGTCGGTGATGTTTGCCTCGGGACACTTGGACACCGAGTCCCCCGCGTTTTCCTGGTTCGTCTGTTTGCCAACTAATGTTGTCTTAATTGTTTTTTTTTTAGCCATCGTGCCGCCGAGGTGTTTCATACACTTGGTGCTTCGGGATTCCATTCCGTGGCGTCGCCTTCTCCCATGGATTTCGTCGTCACTCACACTTCGTTCTGCTTCGTCTGCATCATCGCCATCTTCGGGCGACGCCTTCATCACAGTAGCGCCCCTGAGTCGTCGTCTTGTTGTGTGAATCTCTACGACTTTCTGTGTTTTATTTCTTTGAATGCTGCGTATCGCCAGCGAGCCATGGGGCAGTTCGTCGACCGCCCCTCTTGCATTAATCGCTTGTGCTTTGCATCCTTGGTCCTCATTAGGTCTTGCCCCTGCCGTCTCCTTATACAGGTTGGGTACCCTGGCACGCTGGCCATCGTTCTCCGTGCCTTTGCCTGTCGTTCATTTCCCCTGCCCTTCGTGAGCGTCCTACATTGCGTTGGGTTTTCCTTTTTCGTCGCGTCCAGTATCAAAGGTCGTATCCGTTCGGAAGTTCGTTTGGGTTTTGAGCTTCGTCACCGTACTTTGGACTCGCTCGAGTAGTCACCCTCATTTCTCCAGCGGTGATACGTGCGGGTGCGCGTAAAAGAGTGGTGTGAGGCGTCTGGATATTGATTTTTTTTTCCCTGTCGTCCTCTGTTCAGGATGATAGCGTGCTCTGCCACAATATATATTCTTCGTAGCTTTATCCCTTCAAGCGTTGTCATTGAGATGTCGATGTTCCGTCTCGTGACCGTTCGCATTCTCCATCTCAATGATGGTGTGGGGGATTGATTCGGGACATATGTACAACTCACCCTCCTTTTTGATGTTTTGTGAAGAGTCATATCGTCGATTCATGATCGTAAATCATCAGCTAAAATCTTACTGTAGCTTTAGACTAGACTAAGATTTGAGCATTGATTTGAGTATAGAATCTGCATATAACAACATATTCGCCTGATTGAGAGCGAAGTATCTGATTGAGAGCGAGAGCCAAAAAAATTGAAATTTCGGGTCCAGACGCCTCTTGCCATTTCTTGGCAAGTAGGGGACGGGCTATTCCAAGAAGCGGTGCAAATTGAAGGTCTCATCAGCAGCTTCGCGAGCATATGCGTGTCATCGTCATCGGATGCTGCAGCGAGGAGCTAGACAAGTTGCTAGATTTGCCCAGATTGGCTATTTCTGCTCAAACTGTTTCAGGGCGGTATCGCGTCGGGCGGTGGGCTCTGCTGTAGCTTCTGCTCCCCGCTGTAGCTCCACAACGAGAGACTCCCACAGGATGACCAGGGTAGCGGCTTGAAGCTACGGGCTAGCCCTTCAATTCAAGCTACACAGCAAGCTCCACCTCTCAGTGGTAGTCCGGCTACAGCGTATCGCGCAATCTCGCTCTCAATCAGATGCTACGCTCTCAATCAGGCGAATATGTTGTTATATATGATATTCAGGGTAACCTAGTGTTAAGGAGTGTGGCTGCTAGCATGAACAGGGTACATGTTATTGTTGATAGGATGCGGGTCGGTCAGGAGGTATACCCTTCTGACCCCTGCCCCCTTAGGATTGTCTACTCTGTGTACCCCCTGAGATGAAGTTGGATCCCCACTTCATCCCATACCCTTGCTGATCGTCTCTCAGAAATAACAAGCAACGTTCCTATCTCAACGTGGTCGTGGACAAGCGTGTCAACGACAGAACCTTCATCTATCTCTAGGAGCAAGCTACCGCCCACGGCATCACCCCTTGAAACGCCAATGAATATATGAAGAGCGATAATCGAAAATTTTACCTCTCCGACGATGATTACGCCTGTGTCGCTGCTCCACGCTGGCCACTGCTGCCCTACGTGAAAACTTGTCGAGCCAATGAAGCCGCTGTCAAAACGGGCAGGGTGGGTTAAAAAAATTCGCTGGGGTTGGGCATGCTCAGCGTAGGGAGTGAATTGTGCATGGAATGCTTTCTTTTATTTCACTCGCTCTACCTGCGGCACGAGATTGCAACAACGCGGGGCAATAACTGATTGAAAACAACCCAAGCTGCTATTGAGCAGCCAGATGGGTGTAACCGTTTTTTCTTGCGTCGGCAAACCTCACAACCATGTGATATGTATGAAAAATCTGCTGCTTTTCCGTGAGTGACTTGTGTTCATTAGGTGACACTCAATCATTGATACCCTCTTGCACGAAAAAAGACCGGTGTCTCGTCGAATCGCTCAGATGTGATATACAGTACAACGGTAGTTTGTACTCCGGAGTATCTCAAAAAAAGAAAACGCATTTGGGGTCGCCTTAAGTCGGAATACGTGTCTGTTATTAATCACTAACATTTTCTCCGATTTCCGAACCAATGCGTTCTCCATATCGGCGTGCGAATTCTTTATACATTCGTAGGGTTAATAGATAGGTAGGGAGGTATAGCTCGTCACGCACATCGGTGTAGTACATGTCTTTTCATGTAGCCCCTTTTTTTGCACACGGAGTTCGAGTTAACACCTGAACCAGAGCTAGCCCAGTACGGTCCACAGAACTCTCGGTTTCATTGAGTGAATGAATCGAACGACAAACAACTACCAAAACAATATATTTTTCCATCGGTCGCCCCGGTGTTCTAGTGGTAACTTCGAAACCGCTAGTCGCAAAGAAGGTCGTGGGGTCGAATCTCCATCGGGTGACAAACTTGAAAAAACTTGTGAGTGAAATATATTGAAAAAAGTTTGTGCGGGCGAGGCAAAAACCTAGCAAAAAACGCTCTACTCCCTGCGGTTGGTTCGCCGTAACAAAGCAAAGCAACGACACGATTCTGTCGTAGCAAAAAGTCGCGTATTCTGTAGTAGCCTACCTGTTGTATGGAACACTTGAGTTTGACAGCACCAGGTTTCTCCCCAACACCTGCCCCTGCCCCAGCACGCAGCTAGGGCACAGCCAAGGTCTCGTTCTTGTTCGCTCATCACGGACCTCGGTTCTCGGTTATAAAACTACTCCTGCTGTACTTGTATGATATCGCGTCGTTAACATCTTGTTTCAGCAACACGGACTGACGGAATATGTTATCGGACGTAAAATGGGATGGGTGCAACACGCTAGAGGTCGCAACAGCCCGTACTTGGGTGTATTAACGACGTCATCTACCATCGCAGCAGCGTAGCTCGCCACACTTACATGCTCTTGGCTCCGGATGCTACCGTACACTACACAATATAACACCCCCCCCCC